TTACATCTGATCCCAAAAGTGCAGCATCAATTCAAATTTCCCAAGATGTACTAAAAAACGCAGAAGTAGAAATTAATCTTTCCTATATATCTGCTCACTTCTCTCATCTTCCACTCGCCATTTCCTCACTGGACGCAAGCAATAGCAATACTACTTTGTATCAGTCGTTAAGTTTGTTCAAAACCACTGTTTCCAAATTGAATTCGGTTCCTGGAAGAGTTGGTGAAGTAGTAAAGGAAAAAGTACACAGCATTCTTTAAAGAATCCAGGATATGAACAAATTTGTAAAATTGAAGAAATTTTAGCCGGTAAACGCACTGAACTGCCAAGTAAAAAATCACTAACAGTGGAGCAAATAGCGGCTTTTGTACGTGCGCTCCTAAGGAGGAGTGAACACCTGCAAGAAGCGCCCACAAGCAGATTTCTCCCCCAAAGGGTGAACCCCTTATTTTGTAGTCACACAGAATTACGGTGCCTAGACCACCCGATACCGGAAACGGACACCTTAGAATAAACAAGTAGGTTGCCCGTGGCGCATGGTACACCCTCACGTCTCGTAAAATTAAGCGGGCTTCGAACCCATACATGTGTGACACAGCTGCCTACTTGCGACTGGCCGCTTTCGTTTGAAGTCGAGGACTACGATTCCTGCTTGCGATTGGCTGAGAGCTCCTACACACCCACAAAACGGGAGCCAACCACAGAATATGCTAACCGCGATTTCCTTCTGGTCGGCGTCGCTTCGAGCTGCAAGCGATTCGTCTGTTGGCGCTGGTGGAAGCAAGGAGCGTCCGTGGACTGCGGAATCGCCACATGTCCACGCCTTCAAGAGCAACAGCTACCAGGGTTCGTATGTCTTACCGTTAGTATCTTGTTACGATGTCCGTAGTAGGTGCCAACATTGCGCTGTACCGTAATTATGTATATACTGAAGCGAATTGAGGGCAGTTATTTTAAGGTCTTGGTATTAAAAATCGATGCGGATGTACTGTAGGCAGCTTCACCCGGCTGTGTAAGCTATGGATTGCACGGGCTGGAGAAACATTGCAGTAAGTGAGGAAACTAAAATACCACGCGTTTTGTGTCTACAATGGAAATGCTGTTAACCCTCCAAGGGATGACGGAGACGCCGAAACTGGTAGGGACGTACCAAGCTGACTGCCTGATAGGTCAGTTTCATGCAGGGAAATTATTCAGGACCTGAGCAGTGTCCATTAGCCTGGGTGTTCGTGAACGAATTGTTTATTGATGTTAATACGGTAAGTTGCGTAAAGCCTGAAATTCGTCTAAACGATATATATACAAATATTAATTCGTACCTCACAGGAAACACAGCGTCCCCGTAATGACCAAACGCGACACAGGTGTAGCATGTGGACAGAATACAGAGTCACTTAATTTTAAAGCATATGGTACATACAGCTATGACTTGGGTTTAGAGGGTTAGGAAAACTTACACAAAAAATTATGTCGCTGTACCCACCGTCAGCATTTTGAAACTTTATGGGAGTTGGGAAATAATTTTTAGAATTTCAGTAGCGATTTATGCTTATGTTTTTTTTATTGTATATATGAGAATATCTTTTTGCTTTGACAACATTTTATTCTTGTCTTTTCAATTGTTCATGATTGGAAACTTGCTATGTTTCTCTCCGCCCGGTATCTGTTTCCGAAATTCTGAGTAAAACAGTCGGTGAGGGAAGTCACGTTTTCATATGTGGCATAGCAGCGTGGCGTAAAGACCAACATACGAATGGCAACAGTTGATCTTTGAATACATTAGCCATGTCCTCCTGACCGGTTAAGTTACTTTCTTCAATAGTGGCACAATAAATTTGGGGGNGAAGAGATGATAGCAGTATTTCCATATTCATATACGAGTATATATTCGTATACAGTTTAGTTTTACGTGAAATCGCTTCTAAGTCCCATCCCTACATTGTCAACAATGGCCTGCAACTTTCCAAGTTCGTTACGGAAATAGTAACATTCTAGTAACATTTTGAGACATTTTATTGTTTCTTCAAGCAATGCCAACACAGCACGTGGTGTTCGATATGATGCATTTATCGATTGCTATTAATTACGGCAAAGAGAGAGGTTAACATAGGTCAGTTATGTGACACACCTTCGCTCTGACATCGATTCACTGAAAATCAATGTTCATTTATATTAGTCTGTGGTATACTTTCGGTGGCTTTGACATGAAGCTCTACAGTTGCATCATTCTACGCCACGTCGCGTGCTGCCCCCACGCGCAGATGCAATGAGATTATTGCCCTTAGTTAGGCGCGTTGCATATGTTTCAGTACGTATAATGTTGTTTAGGTTGCATCAGAAATCAGATTCCAGAGCATTTAACAAGGAAGAGAATGGTTCAGTTTAAACGAGCGTTGCGAGGCCCATTTCTTAGTGCAGTAAATCGCGGTGGCAGTGGGGAGGAGGAAATTGGGGTTTAAATAAAATCGATGCAAGAAAAAATTTAAACACCGGAAATGAAAACTTCGAAGGCGCATTTGAGGACGGAGTTCTTATGTCCATGTACGTAACAATACAATACGCAGTGAACTAGAAACGATTTTTCTGGAAGAAAGAATTTGAAAACAAAAGAATGTCTCGTGTTTTGTGTCAGATTTAGAGTCAGTTCAATAAGTTGCAATCTTCGAGTGCTGATTTAAGCAGTAAAAGGAATTTATGTGTAGGTTTTTATTATTGCATAATGGTGATGAAATCTTTATGCATACAACCAGAAACGCGTATATAAAACTGTTCTGAGAAACCGTATGTTATTTTTTTTTCAACCGACTAAACGTTTTGAGCCAATATTTATTTTACCATTTATTGACCTAGCGATAGTTGGTCATGAATACACCTAGTACACTATACAACAACAACAACAACAACAACAATGATAACAGTATTTTCTTATTAAACGTGGCATGTATTATGTGACACGTAAAGTTGTTTCAGGATATTTCTTACAGAGATTGGGGCCCCATGGGCACGGTTATTCATTACAAGCCAAATTTGGGGTAAACACTGTACTTTGGAATTAAATTTCAATGAGAGGGCCTAATTCGTCAAGTGGCAAGACTTTACTTCAGAAATGTAATCTCACAGGAATATCAGAAGACGTGAATTTATACAGTTTATACTTTGGTAAAAGTTAAAGTTGTCCCTGTGCTTAACTAATTAAGCACTACGCCATGAAGGCGTATGGGGGAGTGGATGTATAGATCCACGTTTTCTTGACCTCGGCACTAGTTGGAGGTGAGTGGTCAGTTTCACTCCCCGGCCGCTTTACCCCCGGGGATAGAGCCCCCTGTACCCATTGGATAGGAGGTTGGGTGAACCCAGGAACCGGTGTGAACGATGTGAACGATGTGGAGAAGAGAAAATTCTTGCCCCCACCGGGACTGGAACTCCGACCTCTCGATCGTCCAGCCAGTAGCTTAACTTGTATCTTCACCAATTAAATGACGGAATAAAATTACATGCGACAAAGTAACCAACTAACAAACCATTTCCATGGAGCAGAATTTCTCTCGATGCGCTTAGTGAAGAGCTGCAGCCGGCGGCTAACACATCCCTGTTCATGGCAAACTGCACTGTATTGAAGTCACAATTATGGCAGTCAGCGCGATAAGGACTACATAACAAGGCGTTTATTCTTCCAAACTAAAGAGAAGGCACGGATTAGAAGACGTTGGCATAGATAGGATGATAATAAAACGGAAGGCTCTCGACCAGCTGAGTGACCATCAGCTTCTGAAGAATACGCAGTTATTCCTACAGAGTGTGATCTTGTAATGCGCTTCACTGTGAGGGGTCTGCATTGTCTTCACTGTAAATATATATACATAAATAGAGTAATTAGTAGAAGGGATGGGTGTGTGTAGTATTGAAGCAGATATCATCCTCCGATGATTCTCTGGTGCTTATCTAATCAGATCCTCAGGCGACTTTCTATTGCTGGTTGGTTGGAGAGTTTTCTTATTAGTTCGTTGTTTTGAGTGGTCCGGTTTTTGTGTTTCTCCGCGTATGCTCTGATGACTTCTGTTACATATGGTATGCTTAGATCATTGTGTAAGGTAGCGTTTGATACGTACCAGGGAGCATTAATGAGTTTTCTTAGCGTTTTGGATTGGAACGTTTGTGGAATTTTGTGTTGGAAGGTTTGCTGCATCCCCATAACTCTATCCCAGAGGCCAAGACTGGTTTTATTATCGTTTTGTATAGGATTATTTTGTTTTCAATAGATAGCTGCGTTCTTTTGTCGATTAGCCAATTCATATTTATGGTTGTGAGCTCTAGTTGTCTTCTCTTAGCTTCTATATGCGTCCTCCGCGTTAGTTTCTCGTCAAGGTGGAGTCCTAAATACTTAACTTCTTGTTTGATGGGTGTGGGGGTGCTGTTGATACTAACTTGCGGGCAGACAGCTCTTCTTGATGTAAATGTTATCTGGGAGGATTTTGCTGGATTTACTTTGATTTTCCATTGTTCCATCCGGTTTTGGAGTGAGTTGAGGTGTTGCTGCAGTTTTTGGGGGGCTGTATTTGGATCTTGGTCTGATGGCAGTCTACACTGTAAATATACTCATGCGGCCAGAAAAGCAGATATAACCTATCCCGAGACATTACAATCACGGATGTGCATATAATATTATAGTCCCATTTATTCTCATGATCTCCCATGTGGTCTCTTTCGTTGCCTGAAGTTTAACAACCAAAATTCTGTATGCATTTATTATTTCCCTTGCACACGCCGCCCCTCTTCCATAGACTCAATTGATGATTACAAAATGTGGAAGTTGCCCATGACGTAAACGTAACCGTTCGCAGGTACAACTTATTTGAGTAACTTGTTTAATTTACTGTAATTTTATGCGAACCCAAGATAGTGGGGTCAATTGCCCAAGAATGGAAGTGTAAAGCAGTAGATCCACGTGGTGTTGCATCATTCTCCTAGTGGTCGCGGGGAACACACCCCACTCCAACATACTACTGCACATGCGCGAGTCTTGTGCTGGATGTACGTCATAGGCCAATGTTACGTCAGTATGCATATGGCGGACGATTGTCTGTTTTTACATGTGGCCGTCATGAGGCGTAAGTAAAGCCAATTAAGGTGCAGCAGTGCCTCAGTACGCCATTCTGAAATTAGTTAAACATTCAGCAGGCGCGCCGCGTTGTCATGTTGTATTAGCCGGATTGTTGTTGCTATGCCCACCGTATGCAGATGAGAAGCAAAACACAGAGAAGTGTAAGATACACACAGCTACTACTGAAACCAGACCAAGATGTGATACATATAACATAGTAGACGTAACCGTCATAAATACAGGGACTTGGTCCTCCAAGTTGGGGGTTGGACGCAAGGCTGACGACCATGCTCTATAGAAAAAGTACTGTTACGTATTGTGAGTAATTACAAACGGAGTTCTGGGTTCATGATCGGATTTACTGGTCTCTTTGATGCGTGTAACTACACTTTACAGTTCGATGTTACCCGCACAGTAGTGTCCACAGTCACATTTTCACTCCTGTTGTTTAGTAGCGGCTTCCAACGGCGTACGTTCCCCATCCTCTGGGTTCCCGAACTGTCCCCGGCCTCAGGTGCCCGGTTCTCACCACAGCAGTCCTCCGAGTTATTAACTCACCAACCAACTAACTCCTAACTGGGCTGCTTATAACTTCTCGGCACCCGCCGCACAGAAAACACCGTTTTCTTTTTCTGTTGCAGTTCAGTTATTACCGTGGAAACATGATTGTCTGCAGAGCCCATAACAACGGATGTTGTATAGTTGCCAATTTTGCGGTCGTTGCCTAGTAACGCGTCGACATGCC